GTGTTCAGATGTACATCTCTGACCCCTGGTCCATGCTGTGATCGCTTCAAACTTCACATCCCCTATGCTGGAGAAACCCTGAAATGTAAGTAAATATGTCATTCTCCTATTTGTCATTCTCAAATAAATCAGAAGAGATTAGCCTCTTATTTTGGTTGAATAAATCATCACTGGTAATAAAACAGTTGCAGCTGGGGGCGACTGTGGTTCAGTGGGTAGAGCAGTCGTCTCCCGACCGGAAGGTTAAAGGTTCGAATCTCAGTGCCTGCAGTCCACCTGTTGCATCTAAACTGTGTGTATATATATTTCTATATTTATAAGTACTTTATTTTCCTAATGCACATTCGTTTTTCTTGTTTGCACATTTTTTTTCTTACAGAAGAGCACTGTACATACACATTTAGAGCCACTGTACCAGAGTCAAATTCCATATGTGTCCAACACCTGGCCAGTACAGCTGATTCAGATTCAGATTCTGTTGTTGCTGCCTGATCTTGAGAAAATAATGTTGGAAGAGAACTATTAGCAAATACAGGCCTTTTCTTTCCTAGTCAAAAAATAGTGGTAGTGAATAAGAAACTTGAGGTTGGTCTAAAAATCAGGCTTGTCAGTCATTCCCTTTCACTATATTTTTAGATCACTTAATGGCAAGTGGAAATTAAGAGGGTACAGCTGAAAGAGTAATCATGCAGAAGAAGAGGAAGAACTGAATCCATTTTGATTCCATCTTTTCCATCCATGCATTGTGCTCTGGAGGGTAAGTGCTGGCAGTATTTCAATCTGCCGGTCACCCAGTGTCCTCAGGTTAGTTAGTCCATTGTCTATAACAATGGGCCTGCACGTTGAAAAGAGAACATCACTGCTGAATTCATTTTAATTCAGATTAAACATGTTGAGCCAGCCCTGACTAGTGTTGGTCCTGCCTCACAGTAGATTAGTTTTTAAGATGATAGGTAGTTTCTTGTCACCACCACCTGAAGAGACCAACAGCAGTGGGTATGGGAAATCAAAGTCTAAATTTTTTAAATAAACAGAGCTATGCACAAAATGAAGACAGCAGAAATATTATGATAGAATGTTAGACCTATGTGTTACCAACCGAACACCACAATAAAAATGTTTCGTTTTGGTTTAGCAACTTTACAGTAAGACCAAAAGCACCCACAGGAATTCCTGAACTACAAAAACAACATAAATATTTTTCTGATGATGGTCATGCTTAATCAGTGCAATTATACCAGTAAAAGCTTTATTTGTGCCACTGAGCTTTTGCTGGAATAGTCTGTCATTCTTGAATCAAGTCTCCACATTAGAGATTTTCCCTTGTGAGTCCCTCAGAAATACCTGATGGGCAAGTTCATTAAATGTTGTTAAGTGATTATAATGATGATTTAGAATGATTTGAACTCATTATTACTGTAATTATGGTAACTCTTGAGACCCAGGCCTGGCTGTACACAATGTCCTGAAAGATAAAATCAAGCCAGTTTTACGTAGGCATTAGTTTGTCACCAGTCAAGGTTTAGGCTCAGGGCAAGAGCAAATGTTTATCAATTTGGCATCTACAAACTTTGAAACTCAAAGGAAGCTACATAAATTAAATGTGTTGAACAGTTTCAGTCCGGTTATTAAAAAAAACAACCTTTTTTATAACAAAGCTTATAAAAATACATACATAAACTAGAGAAATGCATTTCCTGTCAAAAATGCGTGTGAACGTTGTGTGCTGAAGGATCGCCCTGAAAATGCTGGACATTTTGTCACCTGAAAGGCTTATCTACCTGAAAGTATGCTGAAGTACAATTTTCCCATTATTTTGAATGGGGGAAAATTTTCAAAATAAAGCTAAATATTTCAGAAGTGTGAAGTGTAGAAAAATTTGAAGTCAAAGCATTAATGTCCTGGGAGAGCTGAACATTCTGATACCTGAAATACCTGAAAGTATGCTTAAGTAGAATTTCCCCATTCATTTCAAAGGGGCAAATTTTCAGAATAAAACTAAATATTTTAAAAGTGTGATGTTTTGAAAAATTGTGAATAGAAGCATGAATGTTCTTGAAGAGCTGAACATTTTGATACCCGAAATAGGAGAAGGTATGCTGAAGTAGAATTTTCCCATTCATTTGAATGAGAGAAAACTTTCAAAATAAAGCTAAATATTTCAAAAGGTATGAAGTTTAGAAACATTCTGAAGAGAAGCATGAATATCCTTGAAGAGCTGAACATTTTGCTACCTGAAATAGCTGAAAGTATGCTGAGTGCAGAATTTCCCCATGCGTTTGAATGGGGCACAATTTTCAGAATAAAGCTAAATATTATAAAAGTATGAAGTTTAGAAAAATTTTTAAGAGAAGCATGAATGTCCTTGAAGAGCTGAACATTTTGATAAATGAAATTATGCTGTAGTAGAATTTTACCATCCATTTGAATGGGGCAAGATTGTCAGAGAGGGTGAGACAGAGAGACAGAAAGAGTTATGTAGTGGCATGTCTCAATTGCGCTGCATTTTATGGACCACCAGACGGCACTCCAAGACTGCGTCATTGACTCAGCACTTTGATCTCCCATTGACTTGTATTGCAAAATATAAAACTGAATAGATTAAAAAGTATAAATGTTATAACAAAGAAAAATACAAGCAGGGATGTCCTTGAAGAGTTGAACACATAGAGACCTCAATGGCCTGTATAGCTGAAAGTATGTTGGACTTATAAAGTGCCCCAAAAATGCTGGAAGATCCCAGAATAATAATAATAAATAAAGAACACACTGCATTCTGGTGATTGTGTGGATGCTTTACAGCACCCACACAATCACCAGAATGCAGTGAATGTGTCTCAAGTGATTGTAGTATAAAAATCACCTGTGTCTGGAAGGTCCAGTCGATGGTTAATCAGTATTCCTGGCTACCATTACACCATGAAGACAAAAGAACACTCCAAACAACTCAGAGAATAGGTTATTGAAAAGTATAAGTCAGGGGATGGATACAAATCATTTACAAGACACTGAACATCCCCTGGAATAATTCATCATGAAGAAATGGAAGTAATATGGCACATGTCTAAATCTGCCTAGATCAGGCTGTCCTCACAAACTGAGTGACCGTGCAAGAAAAAGACTAGTGAGAGACACAACAAGACAGCAATGACTACTCTGAAGGAGTTACAAGCTTGTCCTGGAGGACAATCTTATTCAGTTTGCAAGAGAACTACGTCTTGGGAGAAGATTTATTTTCCAGCAAGACAATGACCCGAAGCATACAGCGAAACCTACACAGAAATAGTGTAAAGACAACAAGGTGAGTGTTCTGGAGTGGCCGAGTCAAAGCCCAAACCTCAATCCAATAGAGAATTTGGGGCTGGGCTTGAAAAGGACTCTTCATGTCAGATCCCCACACAACCAGGCAGAGCTTGATCAGTTTTGCAAAGAAAAAGGCAGTAAAATTGCAGTGTCCAGATCTGCAAGCCTGATTGAGACATATCCACACACAGACTCAGTGCTGTGATTGCAGCCAAAGGTGCATCTACTAAATACTGATTTCAGGGGGGTGAATATTTATGCAATCACTTATTTCCCATTCCATATTTTTATTTAATTGACATTACTTTGTAGAAATTTGTTTTCACTTTGACAGAGGTTTTTTGTAATTTTTTTTTGTCAAAAAAGCCAAATTATATTGACCATGATTGATTTATAAAATTAATAAAAGGGTCAAACATCCAAGGGGGTGAATACTTTTTAGAGGTACTGTATGAACAAAGCAGTATATACTATACTGTAAGAGTCTAGGTTATAACGTGTTGAGGTTGTACTTCTGCCGGGAACTATGCCAGTGTGTTTCTGACAGACTTCTAGTGGTTTGCAACAGATTTACAGCATGTCCTCTCCTCTCCTCCTCTGACACTTCTTCACTGGAAAAGTACTTCCATATGTGTACGTTCTTGCTGTCACTGGTGCAATAAAAAAGCAGAACAGAAGAGTTGCAGTACACAAATAGAATTGTGTAATATAATATCAGAACTTTGTGAACTGTGCTATGCTGTTTTGTCATTCCCTGTCTGTTTCCAGTCTGTAATAACATTTTTTTTTTCAGAATACACTGGTAATTTATTTCTCGGTTTGTAGTTACAGTATTTTAGTTGTTTTTTTTTCTTTTAGAAACTTCTCAGATTTTGAATAACTGAACTGAAAGCAAGCTTGCTTTCACCAGTGCTTTATGTGTACTATATTAAAATACTTGTGCAAATATTTTTACAAGACAGACCTATTTGGTAGGATTTGAGTGTCTTTAATGATAAATGTCAAGTTTTCTCATTATGTCAGGTGTTTAATTTAAAATGCTCCAGATGTGGTTAACACAACTGCTACAAAAAAAACTGCATTAACAGCCACTTCATCACATTTTGCTGTCAATTGGATTAAGATGTCAAATTGTTCCCGCCACAATGAGAGACAGTGGAATTCTCTAAAATTAGCTGATTAGAGAAAAGTTAGGTTGATCTCTTGATATGTTTTCATTGTTTTTATACAATGAAACAGGTCAACTTTAGGAATTCATGTTATCTTTGTTGGTGTCCTAGATCATCAGCCAGTAATAAACAGTTTTCCTCTTTTCTTGCAGGGGATATCATATTTAATGCTCGGTATCCAGAACTGCCTCCAGATTTTATATTTGGAGAAGATGCTGAGTTTCTCCCTGAACCCTCACAACTACCGGTGAGTATCTAGACTCATGTAACAATCATTAATTGCAAGGTTGTCTGGAAGAATTTGTAATGCTTATTTATTGCAGCCAAAATGTGATTATTTTACAGTCAATATGCTTCATTTCATTACCTCACAAGAAAAACACCTAACACGTGATTTGTCCTTTCCCACTTGTTTAAGCCAAGTCTTGTGTTTTCATGTACTGTGTTGCCTGGTTCTCCTTTGTGGGCCTAAATGTCAGATACTGCATGTCTGAGGGAGTTCAAGCAGTACCACAGACAGTATTTGACAAAGCAAACTAACACCCTTCAGCTACTGTGGGTGTGCAGCGTTAGATAGCTGGAAATGTTGTAATAATTGGCAGTTCATTATGCCATACACTCTGTTTTGACTAACTGCTATCTGCAGATCTGATCTTCTGTGTGAATCCATGATTCAAGTCTAAACAGGTTAAAAGGGCCATACTAGTTTGTGTAAAACATAACCTGCCCTGTAATAAAGACAGTATAGCCTACCCATAACAGCATTTTTTTAAACAAATTATAAGGTCATGGTAATGCTGGGTTTACAGTAAATTTACCTGGAGGGGGAAATTTGTGGAATTTGTTTGACCAGAGTTTGAGTATCTATACATTTTGAACATTAAACGTTCTACTTAAATTTGACAAAAAACAATCCAACAGTAGTAGTATTCTCAACAGCTTATCATTCTTCAACAGCTTATTCTTGATGGAAACTTACTGATACTGGAGACTGACCTGTAATTGAACCGACAATGGTAAAATAAAAGTATCGAGATCTGAAAATGGTCTTGGCAACTAGCCGTATACTTTTCTATGCATTAATGTGCACTCAAAGTACTTTTTCCCATTCACCCATTTTCACACACAAACACTCACACATTCACATCACCAGGAGTAACTAGGAGTTCATTGTCTTGCTCAAGGACACTGACATAAAGCCAGGGATTGAACTGCCAATACTCTGATTAGGTTCTACTTCCTAAGCCACAGCCGCCCAGACAAAATAATTTTGTCTAGTATGAAAACTGGGTTTCATGTCTTGATTGCATCAGTGCTGTTTATTATTATAGTCAGTCTGTGACCTCCTGTCTGCCTCCTCTTGCTACATTTAGGGCACACTACTTTCATAGTGCTGAACTTTGGAATTGTATATAGGACACAGACGTTACTATGCTTATTCTTGATGGAAACTTACTGATACTGGAGACTGACCTGTAATTGAACCAGGCTATTGGCTATTCTTGTAGAATATTACATATAACAAAAATGGCTCTAGGTTGTCACTGACTTAGTATATTGTTGACTGGGCACACTGTTAGGCCTTGTGGAGTTCTGTATGCTGTAGAGTACTTCCTTCTTGTTGCCTTTAAGTTCCTACCATGCAGTTATCCAGTGCTATTTTTGAAGTGGCCTAGCATGGAGAAGCTAAATTCCCCTAGTTGTGTCGGAGTCTGGGAGAAAAGTGGGGGAGTATTGCTCACTGTCTCATAAATCCAGCTGTGCACATAAGGGGAAGTACCTCTCCTGAGCCAGTGCCTGGCAGCCCATCGCTTGTTTATTTTCTCACTTATATTCTTTTACTGTTCATGCTGTCATAATCCTCCGTCTTTCTGTCTGCCTGAGGTCCTCCTTTTTTCCCTCTGTTTTCAGTAAGTGCAGCCCCTTCTCACTCTTTTCAAACACTGAATTCCCAATAACTCCTTAGACCCCCCCCCACAAACCTGGGAAATTTCTTGGTAACTTGCACAACATATTAAATTATCAGCTGCTTCAGTTTAAGTAAAAACATTACTGTGTGCCAAACACATATATAAATAACCTGACACATAAAATCCACAGGATGTAGAACTCAAAAGCAATATGTTTATCCAATGGACGCACAAACATTAGGCTAATTTTAGGTCTTCTGTCAGTGGCTGGTTAAATTCGTGATGTCTCAGCAGCACATCGCTCTTGTTTACAGCCAACCAAGGGTATCATTGGCTTCCCTGTTTAGCCTTGTGTTTTCCCTTCTGCCACCAAGCTTGTTATCTCTGTTTCTGCTTAGTCAAGTCAAGTCAAGTCAAGATTTTTATTTGCCATTTTTGCATAAACAGACAGTCTAGGCATATAGGAATTCTTGTGCAGCTCTCCTTTAGAGTCAGGTAAGTAGTCAAAAGCCAGAAAGAAGACTTAGTCTTAAGATAATTTTCAACGGAAACAAAGCATTAAAACCTCAAGACAGAGAAATATGTTACTCTTTCATAAAAAAGGATAAAAACATTCAGGTGGTACATTTACCATCAGCCTCCATGTTGAAAATCTTATTATTAAATAGAGTATTTTATTAATCCTAAAAGGAAATTGCAGATAGGTGTAGTAATTCCAGCATAATATACTAGGACACAATAATGAAAAAAATCCTCAAACCCTATTGATTATTAAGAAAATTCCTAAAAGAAAAGTGAACTAAATAGTACGACTGGATGATGAGAAGCCACATGTGCCACAAAGACCCCTTTTATAGCAGAACTGCTCCATAAGCCATGGAATATGGGCAAAGGTCACCACAATTTTTCTTGAGGTTCACTGTACAAGTGGTCACTGGCAAATGTAAATGACACCCAGACTGGCTAACTGGCTACCAGGGTAGCCCCCCACTTCAGAGAGCTTTGAAACACGCAACGTAAGGCCACAGCTTCATAACTCTAATTCTTTTATAGCTATGGAAAGTCATCTGACAGGCCAGTGGGTTTGAAATGGGTAGAAATAAATCTTAAATTGAAACAGCCCCTTCAATTGTAATCGTCACCTAAACGCTCTGATATAGTATTCATGATTGTCTAACCTAAAGATTTAATTGATACCTGTTGGCTGTTAAAAGGCAGCTTATCAGAGATGACTTACTTGTGGTGAAGGTGTAGACTGTAGTCTACATTTTTGATATTATGTAACATGGGATACTGATTTTACCATGGGGACTACGCAAACCCTGTTTATGAATGATACTGTAGTTTGTCATCTGTTGGTGTGATGTTTGGTCCAATGTACTGCATATACATAGTGATAAAACTATTCAGTGATTTACTGTGACTTGTACATTTACTGTCTATATCATCTTCTTTCGGCTGTTCCTGTTCGGGGTCGCCATAGCGAATCATCTGTTTCCACCTAACTCTATCCTCGGCATCCTCTACTCTCATACCAATTAACTTCATGTCCTCTTTTAGCACAGGCAGAACTAAACTCTCTTTTGGGAGTCAAGATGGCGCCTGTGACTGGCTTTGCCACTGCTCCTTCTTTTCTGTCTCGTATGGTTTTTGTTTTTCTTTTGTTTTATGTTGTTTTATCGGCCTTGTCAGCGAAAACTTGTGTGTCGGCTGTCTTGAATTATGATCGGGACACGTTGTTCCGCATTAAGGAGTTTATGGATAACAGCAGTATTACCGGGGCTAGGGATCCAGAGTCTTTTCCTCGGAATTTTGAGTGCCCCACATTACCATTGGAGTACCTGATGCCAGCCAAGCCCCGCGGCAGAAGAAGAAGGCGGGGTTGCAGGGCTGGTGTCCAGGCCAGGCTGAGGAGATGGCGTGTTCGAGGATTCTCATCGTGGCAGAGTAGGATTAATTCGGTACGGAGTGAGCGGTGTTTGCTGCCGATCATAGGCCATGAGCATGTCCGGGCCCCGACCCCGACCCGAGTGCTGTTGTCCTGGGGGTATATCCTTACAGGCCGGAGTGTCCCGACTCGGGGCATCTGATGTTTGGATTGCTCCGTGTTCTGGACCCCCGGGTCTCACGTCGAGGTGGTGGTCTTGCACTCCTTTACCGGAGCTGTTTTTGCTGTAGGCAAATGACTACTGATATTTTTAACTCATTCGAGCTCCAAATGAGTAAGGTTGGATATATTGATTCGTTTTATTGTATTTTGATCTACCGATCTCCTGGCTCTGCATGCTTGTTTTTTGAGGAGTTCGCTGATTTTTTTATCATCTATCATCAAATTTCAGAATGTTTTAATTCTTGGGGATTTTAACTTGCACGTTGATGACTCTTCCTGCTTGCGGCAGCGGAGTTTTTAGTTCTTATGGAGTCTTTTAATTTTAAACAGCATGTTTCTGGTCCTACCCACAAAAAAGGCCACACGTTGGATTTAGTCTTTTCGTTTGGCCT